TAAGGCAGCATCAGAGTAAAGTTTTATGCAGTCGGAATTAACCCAATTATCAAATAAAAACCATGCTTTTCCCATTAAAGTGAGTCATAAATTCAGTCCACATTTGCAGATCTAAACGTGCAGCATTGGAAAGGCGAATACTGTAATGGGGTTTGTCAACATTTATTGTCAAATCATATAACAGTTGGAGAAAAGTACGGCCAAGAACCACAACCAATGTGGCAAAATTTAACAAACCTAACAGTGTAATTCCCGTAAAGTGACCTTTCAACGATTCTTAAAAAACAATAACTTATTAATTTTCTTTAATTTTTCAAGTGGTAACCGACAAGTCATTTCAGACGAGTCAAGTTCAATACCAAATATAGTTAAACAAGTAGTTGGGAACACTGTCTTGGAGAGTTTAATAGGAATATTTAAATAATTAGCTAAACACATAAAGGATTGTAAGGAGTCAGAACATTCAGAAGACTGTTCAGGGACAACAAAGAAAAAATCATCTATCATATGGCTCATGATTGCATTTTTCTTCGACACCATAAACCACTGTATAGCAGAGCGCTCAAAGGTCTGACAGCTCATGCTGAGACCCATGGGCAAACACATATCTGCGAAATAGTAATTTTTATCATTTATTGGTACGGTGAATCCGAAAAGACCATAATCGTCAACGTGTATTGGCACTTAAGGATAAGCGTCCTTAATATCAGCTTTGGCAATAAGAGCGCCACGGCCCATTTGTTTTACTAAATGAACTGCAACATCTAACGTTTCGTAGGAAACCTCAGTAAATACGGGATCAATATGATCATTTATAGAGTTGCCTTGAGGGAAAGATAGATCATGTATTAAACGGAAGGCACCCTGCTCAGATTTCGGAATGACCCCTAAGGGAGAGCACCTCAATGTTGAAATTAGAGGATACTCAAAAGGACCCACAATTCTATTTTCTAACAATTCTGCGTTAACTTTTGAAAGTAAAATATCTAAATTATCACGACACGACGAATGATTATTTGCAAAGGAAAATGTTCGCTCTCCAGAATACGGAATTTAAAAAACCCTCAGTGAAACCAGAATAAAGATATTGACGTTCTATTGGATCATAACCATCAAGTATCTGCCACAACCTACTTGGATTTATTGGGGTCGACACTTTTGCTTGAGGATGGACTTGCTTTACGAAAAATATAACGTGATGATTGCGCATTAGGCGTTTTTGCCCCAGCATTAGAACCAGATGCAACAGGCAGGTTTGCTGGAGGAGCAACAATTGAATCAGAAAAATTAGACACGGCAGGGGGTACATGGCTGACGTTAGAGTCTGATTATTATAGTCCACTGAAGGTGGATCCTATCAGATTGATTTTGAGTATTCTTACGTACTTTAGCATAAAAGTTAATAGCGGATGAGGGTATCCACAACGTGAACAAACATGAGCAAAACGACACGAAGTGCGCTTGCATCCAGACTGGGAATTAAAACCACAGCAAGTATTACCATTACTATTAGAAGTTTTGGTATTCTTGGTAGTTTTAGATTGATTAACTGAAGATGTACCATACAAAGTGGTAGCCCTTAGCCAGTAATCTGCATGGATTTGATTCCAAGGATGAGGACAAGATTGTCTATTCATCCTAAACTGTGTATCGTAAAATAATACGTTAAACACATGTTGTAATTTTGCAGTTTTAAAACTACCCCCCAACCCCCCATACTTTCAATTTATGATGTTCCTAATAATTCCACAAAATTGTTTGCAGGTTGCGTGACAGAGCCGAACATCAGCAATGCAATAATAACGACGAATTCTTCAACACTGTTTACAAAAGTCAATGTCACTTGCCGTGAAGGATTCAGAATGCCACAAATTCTGAGTTGTGATTCTGGTAATTTGATATATGAAGGCACAGAATGTAGACCATGTGAGAAAGTTGTAAACTAACGGGGTCAGATCGACCAGAATTGTCATCTTGACCAATTGCTATCTTGACCAATTGCCATTTTAACCAGTTGCCATCTTGACCAATTGCTATCTTGACCAATTGCTATCTTGACCAATTGTCATCTTGACCAATATTGCCATCTTGACCAATTGCCATCTTGACCAATTGCCATCTTAACCAATTGCCATCTTGACCAATTGCTATCTTGACCTATTGCTATCTTGACCTATTGCTATCTTGACCAATTGCCATCTTGACCAATTGCCATCTTGATCAATTTCCATCTTGACCAACTGCCATCTTAACCAATTGCTATGTTGACCAACTGCCATTTTAACCAATTGCTATCTTGACCAATTGCTATGTTGACCTATTGCTATGTTGGCCAATTGCCATCTTGACCAATTGCCATCTTATCTAATTGCCATCTTGAGCAACTGCCATCTTAACAAATTGCTATGTTGACCAATTGCTATCTTGACCAATTGCCATCTTGACCAATTTCCATCTTGACCAACTGCCATCTTAACCAATTGCTATGTTGACCAACTGCCATAGTAACCAATTTCTATCTTGACCAATTGCTATCTTGACCTATTGCTATGTTGACCAATTGCCATCTTGACCAATTGCCATCTTATCCAACTGTCATCTTGACCAACTGCCATCTTAACAAATTGCTATGTTGACCAATTGCTATCTTGACCTATTGCCATCTTGACCAATTGCCATCTTTATATTTGATGTTTTTTTTTTCAGTTGAATGTCCGTTGGACCTTATAATAAGGCATGGTGACCTGACTACTGCGATCGGGTCAAGAGTTATTGGAGTTGAATGTAATTTTAGGTGTAGACGACCTTTTACTAAACAAGGGACAGTGTGGAGAATGGGAAACGGATATAACATGTGTAGGTAAGAAATGAAAATAAGTTTTACGTACTACATTTCTGCAACTAGTTTGGCTAAGTAGGCCTACAGCAAACGCCACGCAGCGTGCAATGAAGGATTTTTTTGCCAGGTCACGCGACATCGAGAGATCTTTAATCACTGCCGGATGCCGTGTCGATACGTTACTAAAGGTACGACAAAGCCTTAATTAGAAAACTCCTTCACAAATACGAATCAAAATATAGTTTGCTTATATATTTTCTTGTTTGCAGGTGCCTGTCAGTTCCAGGAAGTCGGGTGTTAAGGCTTTCCACCTGGGTATGCTCCAGAAAACCAGAGAAAACTCACGGACTGCATGCGAGACATCATGTAACAACCATCCAAATTGTACGACATGGTCTTTCCTCGAGTACCTCTGCACACTATACACATCTCCTGTCATTATGGTTATCGGAGGTTCACTAACAAGGGCTAAGTGTCAACAGTTGTGCGCCTTTAATCGCAGATGTTTGTCGGTTGTCTCTACACCTACAGAGTGCGCTCTGTTTGATATAAGACAACTAGAAACTTCACGTGGAGCAACTGGGTTGAATTTCTACTACTGTAAAATCGATGCAGATTGTGAGTAATGTATCTCATACCCTACATTGAGTATATTGGATATCTATTCCGAATCGTAAATAAATAATTTACATACATTATATTATGTGTTATTTATATGTTACAGGGGTGTGAAGAGTGAAAAAGGTTGAGAACCACTGCTATATGTTATAAATAACTAAAACTCAATGTTCCCACTATTAGAAAGTAGCACATCTCCATATTTTAGCTTTTGAAGATTCGTTGGTACTTAGTTTATCATATTCCTTATTTCCATATCATAGAAGATAGAAATTATTACATCATTCTACACGTGCTACTAAACTCATGCTCCCTATCACACCTGTCACACCTGTTACACCTGTCACACCTGTTACACCTGTCACACCTATCACACCTGGTTTGGGTTGTTCATTTCTTTCCTCAGACCAACTGGTAGTTGATGTACCATGGTGAGTTATGAGGTGAATGACCTAAATCAAATGTTCACATTCACATTCAATTTCAGTTATTCTTCCTTGTAACAGCGTACTCAACATAACACATAACAAAATTACAATCCCTTTAAGCGCTGATTCAGTTTTGCACCACGTAACCGTAGAGTACGGAAGCTCAAAACGACATATTTTTAAAATTTTGAATTTCGAATGTGTAATGACACTTTTTGAATTTGTAAAAATACTTTTGAATTTGTAAAAATATCTTTGAATTTATACATATACTTTTGAATTTGAAATTCAATATGCCCGTGACAACTTTATGCTGATGATGCTGAAATCATTTTTTACTTCATGTCTTGGTACGGACTAATGAGACATTAAATTATACCCCAATGAGGTAGTAATTATCCCAAGTCTAGTGGCCATTAATCTTATGAAAGATTTGATTTCCCTTTAAAAATACCACCGACTGCCCATTAACTTGAACCATTCACTTTTTGAAACATATTAACGGCTATCTGTTCCGGGTAACTCGGGTCTGACATAAAAAAAAATTGCGTTTTTTAATTTTGACGAAATTCGATGTTGAATCCTTATATGCACGAATATAGGTTACACCACTGTATGATTCTCAGCGCTCTGATAGGGGCAGGGTTTTATCGACAACCCCTGGTTTTTCAATTAAATAAATTGAATTTGGTCATATAACTTTTGTTGGGAGTATATACGTGACCTCACCTGCTCCCAATATGCACACAGTCTCAAACTAGTTTAATTTATCCTTTAATGTCGGTGGTAGGGAACGTAAGAGCAAATGTTTCCAACTAGCTTGGTACAGGCCTCGATTCCATGAAACATTATCATGCATAAGAATTTCATAACAATTTCAAAGTCAAAAGTATTTTTACAAATTCAAAAGTAATCCTACAAAATTAAAAGTTTTTTTTTTTATAAATTTCGAAATTCAAAAATTCAAAAACATGTTGTATTTAAGTTTCCGTACTTATTCGATGTCAGGCAGATAAGCTAATAGAACAAAAAAAAAACTATGTTAAAAACTGCCTAGAATTGAGTATAAATACACGTGGCCAATTATTGCTTTATTTTCACTTGTAACTGAGAAGATGCATGCTGGAAGATTCCTGTACTCTGCGGTTCTGTTCTGCGTAACCTCTCTGGCTGTTTTTGCTGCCGGTGGGTCATATTTTAATTTTGACGGTATTTGTTATCTTACAGTTCTTATTTCAACGTCACTTTGCACTAATTTTTTTATTTATTGATGCTGGAAATTTCTTGTTCATGTATTGCAAATAATATTTTCCCTTGGGTTGAGGATTATGTTTTGCCTCGAAAGAATTCCAAAGTTTTTTTTGTACTCTACTGCCAAGAAAGCTGCCATAATTAAAATTAGTCTCATTAAATAAAAATATAATAAAGTTCTTGAGACCTATCTTATAGTCTTGGTATATAAGTTATTGATTTTGTTATATAATTAAAATTCTTGATACTTGACATGAATTTATTGGTATTTGTAGGTAATGTTAGAACGACTAAAGGTATGTTATCTTATAGTTCTTATTTTAACGTCACTTTGCACATTGCACACATTTAACATTAGGGAGGTACATAAAAAGTATGTATGTCTTAATAGTTTTGCATATTAGAGAATTTTTCTCCCGATTTCAATGACAAATTGATTCCCGAGATTCATTATTTTTGATCTTTTGATTTTTTGATGCTGGAAACTTCTTGTATTGTAAAAACAATTTCCCTTGTTTTAAGGAACAGTTTTTGCCTCGAAAGGATTACACATTTTTGTTTTTTGTTTACCTTCACTTCTTAAATCGCGTTAGATTTATTTTCCGTCCTTATCAGTGGCGCAGCCAGGTTTACATCCGAGGTGGGCGAAATATCTGAGATTGCCAGAATTTCTGACCTAGTCATGGGTTTTTTGCCTGAAAAACTTGCTTTCAGGGTTGGGTTGGGGGGG